AAAAAAAAAAAAAAAAAAAAAGAACCAATAATTTATTCATCCGTTTTGGTTAGCTGGGTTCTTTTATTCCTTAACAATGGCCTCTGGTTATTAACACTTCTTAGTTCAAATTCTTGGTTCTTGTTGCCCAAAGTATAAAGAACTTCTCTGCTTAGGAGTTAATAAACTCTTAGGGAGGCACCTGTGGCTCAGTGAGTAGGGCACCAGCCCCATATACTGAGGGTGGCGGGTTCAAACCCAGCCCTGGCCAAACTGCAGCAAAAAATCTGGGCATTGTGGCGGGTGCCTGTAGTCTCAGCTACTTGGGAGGCTGAGGCAGAAGAGTCACCTAAGCCCAGGAGTTGGAGGTTGCTGTGAGCTGTGATGCCACTGCACTCTTCCGAGGGCAAAAAAGTGAGACTCTGTCTCTACCAAAACAACAACAACAACAACAACAAAAACTCCTCTTAAATGCGAATACTCCTTGTGGTGGGAGAAGCTTACTCATAACATTACTGTGAGTTGCTTTAGCTTGACAATTTGAAGCAGATTATGACTGAAATAGAATTGTGATTTCAGAAAAGGTTAGGAAAGAATAATAGGCCTGGGGCTCAAAGGAGTAGGGTGCCAGCCCCATATACCGGAGGTGGTGGGTTCATACCTGGTCCTGGCCAAAGACTGCAAAAAGAAAAAGAATAAGCCTGGCATCAGTGAACTTTATTAGAAGTTACCCTAGAGTAGTGTAGGAAGGTAGAAAAAAAAGTTTTCAGTATAATTTTTTCGGCTAAGAGTATGTGGCAACATACTTCCATATATTGACAGCTGAAGATAGCACCATCTTCAGTTTGATGATACCAAAGATAGCTTCAAAAGAAAAGTATTAAACATTAGGAATTATATTCCTTATATAAGACAGACTTTTTTATAGAGACAAGGTCTTGCTATGGTGCCCAGGCTGGAGTACAGTGGCTATTTATAGGTGTGATCATAGCACACTACAGCCTCAGATCCCTGAGCTCAAGTGAGCCTCCTGCCTCAGCCTCTCAAGTAGCTGTAACTACAGGTATGTGCCATGCTGTACTTGACTAAGACAGATATTTTGAAGAAAAATTTTGAAAGGTTTTGGAGCAATTATCTCATGGGATGTTATTTGCTGAAAAATTTGGTTAGCAAACGTGAGCTTTGAATTGTTTTGGGAAAAAACTGGGAGTTGAAGAAAATAGTTCAGAAGTTAACCACTCATTTTTGTAGATAGTGCAATGCCTTGAGGAAGTCTGTCTAATAGTATAGCTGCCATATGATGTATTGATATATTGCTGTTCAGTACTGTGGGTAATCTTTTGAATAAATTGAGTGACGTCCCTTTCCTTTCTTAGTCTGATTTTAGCATATTTAGGCATTTCACTTAATTTCTTTGGTTATTCTTAGAAGTTAAGCTCAGTCTCTTGACATCTATTAGGGTTTCTGTTATGTTCAGTAACTCAGTTTGTAAAAATTCCTATTTTTTGCAAATTTGTGAATCAGGACTTGTTTCTATATTAAAGGAATGCGATTGAGGTGAACAGTATAACAGTAGTAGTGATTTTAATCTTGGCATTTAAAAGTCACTGCTAAGAAGATCTCTTTATGAGGTACAGCTTGCATTTCCTTCTATTTAGATTTTATTTCTTTTTCTTTTTTTTGTGAGATAGTCTCAAGCTGTAACCCTATGTATAGAGCACTGTGAACGTCACAGCTCACAGCAAACTAAAATTCCTGTGCTTAAGTGATTCTCTTGCCTCAGCCTCCCAAGCAGCTGGGACTACAGGCCCTTGCCACAATGCCCAGCCATTTTTTGGTTGTAGT